GGGGTGTGGGGGGGGGGGGGGGAGGGGGGTTTGTTGTGCCACAGTCTGGGTGGTGCTAACGGCTGACTGCCCTCAGCCGTGTCTCTGGGGGGGTGTAGAACTAGGCCCACCCATACCTTGCATTGTTGGCCCCAGTGTCAGTAATAACACACCTTGTACATTCTAAAACTACAAGTTCACTGTACTCCGCCCCCCTCCCCTTCCCTCCCTGGGCAATGAAAATCAGTGAAATCACTTTCACCTTTGTTCAGTCACTTTCATTTTCAAGTTTAATATTGCAGGGCTTGGGTTTTGACCATTAATTGGCTTAAAACTATTGACTGAACACTCTCATTGGTCACGGCATTTTATAAAAGCTTGTTTTATAAAAATTAAATACTAGGCCAATTTTTGCATGTCTGTTTAAACTGTTTCCTCATAACAGTGAAAGTGTTAATGTGTAATTTAAATTCTCTGGGGGATAATATGGGGAGAATCAAAGGTTCTGTGTTCTCTTTGTATTTGTGAACAAAGGAGGAAAATTATTTTTGAGAGTTGGTGTTAATGTACAATCATTTACTTCAATAGGATCCACTTTGGAAACTGCGACGCAGTCAGAAGTTGGATATGTCCGCAAGGCTTGAACTGCAGTCTGCACTGGATGCAGAAATACGTGCCAAACAGCTAATACAAGAAGAGTTACGAAAGGTTAAAGATGCAAATGTATCCTTTGAGAGGTAATACATTACTGAAGCCTGCAATCTTGTTCATCTGAATATTCTAACGTGCTGTGTTGTTCTTAATGTTCCAAACATAGCTACCTGTTCAAATAACAAACACTTTTTAATGAAGGCCTTTGTATGCCAAGAAATTTTACACCTTGTGAGAAAATAATGTGGTCTATGGGTCCTTTCCCAACTTTTTAAAACAAAATCTAAAGATTTCTTAAAATAATTTTAAAAATAAAGCATCATGCCCTAAAGAATGGATTGATTGTAGTGTGCACCATACAAGAGAAATGTATTCTAGGAATAGTATCAGAAAACCCCTTTCTTAGAGCAGTTGAAGAGAGGATAGTATCACGGGATGGAAGACCATCCTTCCAAGAAAATATCGTCAGTTAGCTACCATCTTCGACATCACTGAGTTCTTTAGGTTATATGCATCACTGCCTATCTAGCATGGTGATAAGATTGTAATTTACAGGAATGGTGGGCCAGGGGAAATGGTCAGCCTTAAAAAAGAGAAGGATAGATGTTGCCAAAGCTGAGAATCAAGAGGGATTACTGCCAGTGAAAAGAAGAAAATAAAATTATTCAGTACATTTCTTGCCTTTCAAGTATTTCATGATTTTCATATTGTTATTTTAGTAAACTGAAGGAGACTGAAGCAAAAAATCAGGAACTGCTGCGAGAAATAGAGGGGTTGACGAAAAAGCTGGAAGAAAAATACAGAACAGATACAGGTAAAGTTGGTATTAAATTAATTTTGAGCTACTTATCTTTAGTATTTTCTTTGAGTTAAACCAGTTAATTTATTTTCTTTCAGGTCTCAAACTTCCAGACTTTCAAGATTCAATCTTTGAATATTTCAACACATCACCTCTTGCTCGTGATCTGACTTTTAGAGTGAGTTCTTACATCAAGTGATTACAAAAATGTGTCTTGAGGATTTTGAATTAACTAAAGTTTATACATGTATAATATGCAGTAAATTAGGTTCTGACAAATGAGTACAAAATATGCAAGATGAATTAAAAATATGTAGTCTGTATACTAGATGTCTTATGACAAAGCCTTAGAGAAAGCAGCAACTTTTTTAAAATAGCTGCACAACCCCACTTTAAGGTAACTAAAAGAATTAGGATATGAAGATGTCTGAGAACATATACTGGATAAATAATGTATTCACTTTTTCTGAATAAGCTACACATTAAACAGCATATACAAGGGCAGCACATACAGCTGCTGGTTCTGTGCTTGCATGTACTGACAAACTGGTTGATTAAAGGAAGAAATAAGCTCCAAAAGGTAATCTATCTATGATGTGAAATTGTTACCTCCAAGCTTGGGCTTCAATGTGGAGGTTATAGTAGATGGAACTGGAAAGAGCTTCAGAGACGCAGAAGATGTAGTATGTTGGTATAGGCCAAATTAGACCTTTTTAAAGTTTTTGTTGGCCTGTAGCACAGTTCTATCCTGACACACCTGCTCATTTTCTTTAGCTAGTTAATCATACAATGTGTGTCTTTGGTGCGTAATGTTTGCACATCCCTTGAGGGAAACAGCCCTTACTTACTGCAGTGAATCACACATTTCCTTGCTTTTTGAACTCTTGAACCTTGACGGGTTTCTGGACATGTTTTGTATAACATTTAAAACAGTTAAGACTAAAAATCATAAGAAATCTGATAGCATACGATAGAGGGAAGCAGTTATACTTGTTGGGATTAAATCCTGATCTACCTAGATAGATATTTGTATCTGGATGGTATTATCTTGTGACTATTGTTCTTTCTGTATTGCTTTTGCCAAGAAGAGAGAGAGACATACTGTGAGATGTGCAATACGTAAACTTTTAATATGTGCTATTTCCTTTATAGCTTCTGTGTGCTAGCTTTTTTTACTGTCAACACAGCAGGTCATTCTGTATACCATTCCACTTCCATTCCCCAGCCATCTCTTTAAAATGGTGTAGAGGAAAAACATGTGAAATGTGCTGCTTCCAGGATGTGAGTTCTTAGGTCTACTGACCTTAATAGACTCTCATTTAAAATAATTGACATTACTTAATACATGAGATTTTAAAGCACTTTATATGAAGACGGGTTGAATAACTGTTTTGAATTGAAATCAAATATGTTGCAAAGTTCAGAGCATAAAAAATTAAATGTGTAATAAACCAAAAAGCCACATCACATATCCTGCCATAAATAAATAAATGGTAGAGAAGGTTGTATCATTTTCTAATGAATTACTGTTAGAAGTCTGAATATTTTTGTCATTAACTTTTTGAAGGTGCACTTAAAACATACCCTCCTCTGGTCTTCCTGGTTATTTTGGTTTGTGTAAATATCACAGTTTGATGCATAAGCATTTCTTTAATTAGTCTAATAATAAACCCTCTGAAGTTTTTTACGGGTGATAAGTGATCATTTTTATCCCTCATATCTGTTACCACAAAGGATTCTCTTTCTTCCTCATCTACGTCTTCTCTGCTAGCCTTTTGGGAAGAAGTAAGTTCTTCTTGATACATTTGCCTCCTTAATTTATTGCCTCTGTAAGACTGGCATCCTAAAACTAGTGGAATTTTTTCTTAATAACTTTTTACTACAGATTAACCCACTAAAAAGAAATAGTTTATTTTTGAAAACTTCCTTACAGGCTGACACATTGATACTTTGACAATAGTCATGTCTAAAGATGCATTTTGTTTATCATGGCAATATACGTTGTTTTACACACAGATACTATTTCATGTTTATTTTATATTTGTGAGTCTAGCGTTACCAATCAGCATAGAATAAATATGTTGATACACAACTCAATACGGTTACATTGGATATTTTCCAATCTAAAGTAGCTGAGGAGTGAATATGACTTTTACTCAACAGCCTTCACTACTAATTACATTATATTTTATAAAGTTTATTCTGGTGTTTGCTAATCATCTTCCCTATGTCCACAGAGTACAATAATATAATATCCTAATTCTCTACCCAGCTGTTTTAACTCTAGAATTATAGCATACTACCCCCTCATCCTGTCAATTAGTAGTATTTATTGTAACTATGTATTGAATTAATAGAGGCTGTGTAATTATACTCGTTTCTAGTATTAGTTAAATGTTATAATTATCCTTAGAATTCCAAATGGTAACACAATTTTCTTGAATATTTTTAAATACTAAAAATAAATTGGATGAAGTCACTTTAAGAACCTTATACTTGAATCAGTAGCTGTTCTGCACTTTTAAAAATCCTACTGCAGTAAATATTTAATAGTTTGTTTTCCAGGAAGCCTAGCTTCCTTCCATACCAGCGTGCAAGAATGTAGGAGCAATATTCAAAGATGTGATTAGTGGAGTCCAAGCATGTTATGAAGGATCCTTGGATTTCAGGATGAAGGAGATTGATGTTTATGGCGGTTTTGCCATCTACCATTTGGGAATCTTTAAATTTATTTTCATTGCTATAGTTTTGCTTTGATATAGTGGGTCTGATTGTTTTAGAAACAGACTTACATAGAATTTGTAGGCATTAGCGGTGCTCATAAAGTTGTTCTTCACAAACTGTTATTTTTGTTCTGAATTAATAATTATAACTATATTCTAGGATTTATCACATGTTGATTCAAGAACGCGACTTCAGATTTATGGTATTAATCTAATTTGTTTGCTAACATTTTTTGCAGACAAGTTCTGTTAGTGAGCAGGAAACGCAAGGTCCCAAACCAGAAGTCTCACCATCCACTTCCGTTATGACTACAGAACAGCTGCAAGAAGTAAGGCAACTGGTATTTTATTATTCAGAGCAATTTACATAAGTCTTTAAGTACATTTGGTTTGTTATAAATGTATAGCACAGACATTACTCACCACAAAGAGGTTCACTCCAGCATTGTTTGCTTAATTACACGTCATTGTTTTAAGCACACATTCTTTGAGAACTGTTGCAGGTGGAATCTCTCCCCAGTCTCTACATATGTTGATGTTCTCCATTTTCATACCCATTTTTGTATTGCTGCTTGTTTGTTATTACGCAGGCTTTCCTATGAGTGCTGTAAGCTATAATTCATTCACAGTAAATCAGGAATGGCAATACATTCTGCAATTCAAACTCTTACTAATCCTTGCAAATTCTTAATAAACATCCCAATCGTAAAATAAATTATTGAAGCCTCATTTTGCTCAACTGCAGTTTTTTGTGATTCAGGAACCAATACGGCTTCAGAGGATGCCTGCTGTTTCCTCCCCTACCATTGCTCTAGCTGTACCAAAGGTAGGGGAAACCTTGTTCACCTTATTTGTAAGAAATTAAGAAAAGAGAAGCTTTATATAAATTAGTCATCCATATGCTTGGGTTCATCTTGTCTGAGTTTGTCATTTGCTATTTATTTGTAAGCTTGTTTATGTTGTTAGTTTGTTGGATATGAGAATTATTTCAGACTAGTTTGTTGATTTGGTTTTTTTATTTGTAATAGAAATACCTGTCGAGTGCTGCTGCTAATGTGGGTGTGTCTAGTTCTGTCTTGCAGGACTTCTAACAAATTGCAATTAGTTACAAGAAAGCTGTATTTTATAATTCACTCCTGCTAATTATATGTAAAGAAAAGATAAAACATATTGCATGGACATGGGAGTTGATTTATCCCATTTATCATATTGCTTTGTTTTATCCTGAATTTATCTTTCAGCCTAAAGCTCACCAATTCAATATCAAGTCCTTTTCAAGCCCTACTCAGTGCAGTCACTGCACATCTCTCATGGTGGGATTAGTTCGACAAGGCTATGCCTGTGATGGTGAGTTAAATCATTTGGAATCTTCAGTCATCTAACCTAAAATAATTCATTTTAAAGTAATAGGTTACTCAGTGAACAATAAAACTAGTCCTTGTGTCTTTCCTCTTACCTTTTTACATCTTCAGACTTATAACAATGAAACAATACAATTCTCAAGTTACATAAACTCAGAGATTGTTCTCCCTACAATATGTGTTCCTACTAGTACTATTAATACTTTAGTAACATTCTTTTTGGAACATGGAGAGACTAAGGAGAATAATTTTTCTCCCTCCTTCTTGTAACAACCATTTCGGTACTTGAAAACACATCCTCAGACTAAACAGACTCAGTTCTTTCAGTCTTCCCTCATAGGTCATGTTTTCTAGACCTTTAATTGTGTTGCTCTTCTTTGGACATTTTCCATTTCGTCCTCATCTTTCCTAAAATGTGGTACTCACCTGGGCACAGTATTCCAGTTGAGGCCTAATCAGCACAGAGGAAAATGGAAGAATTACTTCCCGACTTTTCTTATATTACTGCTACTATTATTACTAGCCACATATAGCTGTTTGGCCAATTGTGTGTGACTAGTTCAGCTTTGGAACTGGTTGGACACCAAAGATCCAGAATGCTGAAATTAACAAAAAAAAATCATCACTGTTACATTGTTGACTCATATTTAGCTTCTGATCCACTAGGACTCCCCAAATCCCTTTCTGCAGTACTCCTTCCTAGGCAGTTGTTTCCCATTTTGTATGTGTGCAACAGATTCTTCCTTTCTAAGTGGATTACTTTGCATTTGTCTTCATTGATTTTCATCGTATTTATTTCAGACCATTTCTCCAGTTTGTATAGATCATTTTGAAGTATGACTCTATCCTCCAAAGAACTTGCTCCCCTTCCTAGCTTGGTATCATCAGCACATTTTATAAGTGTGCTCTCTATGCCATTATCTAACTCACCGATGAAGACATTGAAGAGAACCAGACCCAGAACTGATCCCTGTAGAATCCCATTAATTATGCCCTTCCAGTATGACTGTTGAACCATTGATAACACCTGTGTGGGAATGGTTATCCAACCTGTTATGCACCCACCTTATAGCAGTTCCACCTAGGTTGTATCTATTTCTAATCTAATCTCACTCCTCCTCCTCTCTGTCACTTGTTAGGTACCTCTTCTGACATTTAAAAAACAAGTCACTCCTTATAATTGCCAAAATAATTGAACATATAGTGTGCTGCTGACATGCATGTTCTGCGGGCAATTTCAATTGAATTTGTTGGTTTCCTTATGCCAAGAACAGCAGATAATCACCTCCTGTTAAGATGAATTCATCTTCACAACATGATTTCATTATAGATTTTCTTTTTTGTTCTCAGTGTGTTCATTCGCATGCCATGTTTCCTGCAAGGATAGTGCACCTCAGGTCTGTCCTATTCCCCCTGAGCAAGCCAAGCGGCCTCTCGGAGTAGATGTACAAAGGGGGATAGGAATGGCATACAAAGGTTATGTTAAGGTAAGAATCATTGAACCTGTGACATTTTTCTCTGGTCTAAATGCAAACTATTGCAGTTGTTGTAGCTGGAATCCTTAACTGTGTTTAACTCTATCCCTATAATGTGCTAAAGCCTGGGGTTGTATACAGTTCACACTAATGTCCTTAGTGTTAACCCTTGAGGGAACAGATGGTTTTAATGGGAGAACTAGAAATGTCCAGCTGCAATTGCCACAAATACAAAAGAGGAGAACCTTCTTTGAAGGAAAAAAGAATTCTTGCCATGGCAGAGAGAAATGTAGGATAAAATATAAACTCTGTCACCAATATGGCATCTGTGGAATCTCTGAAAATACACATCCTGGGTTTATCATTTGAAAAATTAAAAGTATTTATTAAATCTGGATAGAGAATGGGGGAACTTCATAAAGGGATTTTCTGCTGTTGTTGAAATTTCATATATATACAGTGATGCTTTTCTGCCAATTTTAAATATAACCAAAATTTGGAGTTCAAGTACCATTGACTAAAATATGATTATTCATGCCTTTCTAAACTTCCTCTCATATATCTATATAATCATGTTTACACATAATGAATAATCCGTTATTTACATGCAGGTTCCAAAGCCTACAGGAGTTAAGAAAGGGTGGCAGAGGGCCTATGCAGTTGTCTGTGACTGCAAACTATTTCTGTATGATGTGCCTGAAGGAAAATCCACCCAGCCTGGAGTTGTTGCAAGTCAGGTCTTGGATCTCAGGTTCGTGTTGCCACAGTAGTCAGAAAACTTCCATTATTTTGCTTGCATTAAGTGCCTCTGTAATCAGTACATGAGAAGCTCTTGTAATGTAAGAGTTCTGTTCTGAAATAATTTTTACCTCCTGAAGATGGACTTAAAGTTAATTTAATCAGTAAGAAGTGGCATGACACTTCATCTTCTTTGAAACCACATAATGTCAGCGTGTTCCGTCCTAGAGTTTGATGTGTGTCTTGGGGAAACTAATCAAGATAAAGTAGGGCACAGGGGAAG